GCCTTGGACATTATCACACTGTAAGACAATATTATCCGCATACTCAAGGTCGAGAAGTCTTTCTCCAGGCAACAGATCCACACCACCATTACTTACATTCATCAGAGCTGTTTCCAGAATGTCATCGATGGCAAAGTTGAAGAGGAATGGTGAGATTGGGCAACCGTGCCTAACCCCACTGCTCGAATGGAACAATGGAGAGAGGTGGTTGTATGCCCTCACTCTGCCTGAGGTGTTTTTATATAGGGCTTTTAGGTTGTTAATAAACTTCTCAGGCACACCCTTCTTCAATAGACAATCCCAGAGAACAGTCCTGTCCAACGAATCGAAGGCAGCCCTGATGTCAAGAAACACTACGATTGTTGGCCTTTGATAAGTATGACGGTGTTCTAACATTTGGCGGAGGGTGAAGATATGATCAATACATCCTCGACCAGAACGAAACCCAGCCTGCTCCTCGCGAGTCAATCTTTCTCGGGTTTTGAACAACCTACGAAGAATGACGGAAGCCAATAGCTTGGACGCAATCGGACGTAAACTTATCCCCCGATAGTTGTTACAGGAACGACGTGAACCCTTTTTAAAGATAGGGACAACTATCGACTCATTCCATGACGTTGGTACACTCTCTAGTTCCCAAACCTTTGTAAACAATGTCGTCAATTCCTTAGTCAGAAAGTCACCACCATCTTTAAAAAGAGCCGGAGGTAAGTCATCTGGGCCAGGTGATTTGTAACGCTTCAAGAGTTGGAGTTCCTTGCGGACTTCCGCCTCATTTGGTGGATCAGTCGTCACCGGTCATAGAGGAGGGGAGGACAGTCTGACCGATGTTGCCGGAGCAGCAGGCCAGTTGAACTGCCTTTCGAAAAATTCTGCCCATCGTCCAAGACGTCGATGGATGTTAGTGATTGGCATCCCGTCATCCTCGCAGATTGTTTCGCTCACACCAGACTTCTTGCTGCCAGTGGCTCGGATGAGCTGGAAGAGCTTCCGGTAGTTACCAGATGCAGCTGCTGCTTCCAGCTCATTAGCACGCTTCGACCACCAGGCTTCTCGGTCCTTACGCAAGCTTTGCCCAATTTCTTTACGTAACATCCTTCGTTTATGGTCAAACTCACGGTCACCCGGAGTAGACCGACGGGCCTCAATGAGTTGTAAGGAACCAGAAGAAACCCAGTGCTTAAAAGCAGGACGTTTCGCGAACCCACAACTGACTGTACCCGCCATTTTCATGGCGTCATGCAATTGCAGCCAATGCTCATCTATACTTTTCGGTGGAGTGGTAGCTAGCCTAGAGGCTAGCTCGGTTCGATACTTACTAGCAACAGAAGTTGCAACCAGCTTGCTAACATCAATCCGTTGGTGGCGGTCACTTCAATTCAAGATAAATACCACAGTAGTAAAAGTGATTATAATATCAACTGGGGTAGGAAACATTTAATATAGGTAACATGATTCAAGAAGAAAAAATCCATTTATGGAATAACAAACTATGAACCACCTTTAAAACTTAAGGTCAAAAGGAAAACAGTTGATGAATACATTTGCATCACTGCAGACGATTAAGAGCCATACAACTCAACGACTTCAACTAGGAGGTTCGTACTACTTGACACAGTTTAGTCCAACTATCAGTGATTTCACAGACTAATATTATATCTGGGTTTGGTCCAACTTCTAGCTTTCTTCCAGCCTACTCCTAAACTAGAAAACATCGAGCATCGAGGCAAGCGGACGATGGGTCGAAGTAACACACGTCCCAACTACCTTAGTTGATGAAGATTCATTACTTATTCAACTGAATTGTCATTTTAGCTAGTAGATTGAGCCTAAAATCAGCATCTGTCAACTAGACTAACAGTTAAATTGTATACAACTTGATCGACAGAATTCGATCATCACTAAGGAATAGACAATCATAACATAGGTTATTACTCAGTAATCAATTCATCTATCATTGGAATTGGTTTATTTATTTGCCAAGATTTATTCGTCATGTAACAAGTTAAGCAGAAAGAGTGTAGCAATTTCTACATCGTGAAAATGAATGAAAAAAAATCATCTCCGTGAAGCAAGTTATTATTAATATTAACGGCTTCACTTATTCAGTCAGTCAGTCAGCTACAATGTAAAACCAGGGACATATATACATCAGTCCAAGTTTCCATACCTCATTAACACAACAAGATGGACACCGGATTCATAAAAGTAGTTAATTCAATGGTGGTAATATATAAAAGAAAGATTGAGCATAAGGATATAATACAGGAAGAAAGAATTAGTTGGTAGAAAGAAAGATATGAAGCGATTTTAATCTCATAGTTTTAGGGAAGACAGAGTGTGTATAGACCGACGCCATTGTAATCCAACCATTGGTTACGATGGTCACGCGGACCCCAACCAAGTAGTCTGCATCTACCAACATGGCTCAGACTAGAAGTTAGTGACTTCAAGCACTGATGCCACGTTTTGGTTTGGCCGCCCCTAACTTTCTTCCAACCATCTCCAATACCGGATAGCATTGCACGTCGTGGTAATTGGTGTTCAGGCATACGCAACACGTGGCCCAACCATCTCAGTCGATGAAGATTCACAACCTCATCGACTGATTTACCATCATTACCTAATACCCTGCGTCTAACCTCACTATTACTTACCCGGTAATCCCAGCAGACGCCAGCAATATTTCTAAGGCATATATGGTCAAATACTAGTAGCTTACGAATGTCTTCTACTCTTAATGGCCATGTTTCGCTGCCGTAAATTAAAACAGAACGGACTGTCGCACATTCACTTTTCATACATTTCAGATTAAATGGAAGTAATAAGACATTTTCAGACCGCAAGCATAATAATAAACAAATTATTTACGTATAGAACATAGTCACAAAAGCTTTTAAAATATGAATTAAAATGTAGGTGTCATTACCAAGGTTTGATTTGATAATTTCGAATAAATTGAGCATTGGGTTGATTGTTATAAATAAAAATAATATATTTGTAATATCCCAATGAGTAGAAAATCCAATTTTCTACTCATTGGGATATTACAAATATATTATTTTTATTTATGAATTAAAATGATTCGATTATAGAATGTATAAGTAAGTGATTAGAAAGAACTTTATGTGGTTGGAGTTAATTAGTGAGAAATTATGATGGATTAAGTTTTGTGATAATTAACACTTATCAAAGATGTATATTTCTTTATTTCGGGTAGCAATCAACCTTCTGTAGGACTGAGATTTTTGGGCAGATTGATCATTAAGTGATAAATAATAGCAACTGATCACATTCGGTCAGTCAGTTGCAAAGTAAAACCTGGTACGTACGTACGTCTATCAGTCCAAGTTACCTTTGGACCTTAAGTTGCTGCTTCTAGTCTTACCATTATCCAACCGATCTGCCTAGCGCGGTAGAACTTGAAAATTAAATGCATTTCGGCTTATATAGATCGTTTGAGTAATTATGACAGGCAAGCCAGACCACCACTTCAAGGTAGCAGCTATGATCGTGATTGACCACACCGCAATTTGATCGATAGAATTTAATTAATACTAAGGAGCAAACAAACGTGCACAGGTTATTACTTTATTTACTAATTAATCAATATAGTGAGATAGTACTCATGGAAAAGTAAAGTATATTTCAGACAAAATATTACATTACTGGTAACCATAAATCAAGACCGGATGAGTTATTGAGGTATTGAACTCTCTGTTAGTCAGTATTAGGTCCGAACTACACAACTATATCTAATTGCAAGCATACACACACCTATACTTGGTTATTGAATTACATCAACACCAGTATATTCGTTAAGTAACCAAGCCGGTGTATGATTTTAAACATGGTGACTTTGAGTGTCACTAAAGGTATGAAGGCGGTGATTGTTATATCCGAGCGAAGATTAAATCACGAGTAACTTATGAGACCTGTTAATTGACTAATATTATCTATACATTCTTATGGTATAATTACTCAATAATTAGATTATGTATATTTATATTCCTCTTATTATAAGCTTTATTTAGACTTATAATTTATTATTGTACGATTTACTGTTCTTAAGCTATGTTCAGTTTATTGACTACTGCCTCCCAGGTTCACAGCCGCCTTTTGGCTTTATTGTGTACAAATGTTATTTCCTATTTTATGGTGCGTTGCGGTCTGTTTGGTTGATATATAAACCCAATATATATTCGATTTGCATATTGGAAGCTGGTTTCTGGTGTTCTGGACTCAAGTGGACGGGCTAGGCGAACATAGGACCAATAAGGACGCTAGACTGCCCATACCGGTCGAACGTCATCGGTTTGTCACAGTTCGAAGATTGTATAAGTCGTATTTTGATTGGCGGATGAATCACGTGATAAAAAGCCGGACATAAAGTCATAACAGTGATCATTTTTTCTTGAGTTGCTTCTAAAAAAAACGTTAGATTACAGAGAAGAATTACAGTGGAGAATGTAACCCCAGTGGTCAAGAGATAACTGCTTGAAACTGGCCATATAATTTACGTGATAGTTAACTCATACACAAACACAATAAAAGAGTCCCAGAGTGAATATCAACTTTACTTGGAGATGAAAATATATCCAGCTAAGGATGAAATACCTCACCTGGATTTTATTGCTAGCCAAACTATCCTACTTTTTTTAAACAAATAAATAAATAATATCAGAATGGGTTTTGTGGAGATTTTTAGAAATTTCACTGATTGAAATCATGAGTCAATTGAAGCTAGACCACCACGGGGAAACCCGGAAGCACTGGACGGCCGTTTCGTCCTAGTATGGGACTCCTCAGCAGTGCGCATCCACGATCCCGCCCCCCGCGAGATTCCAATCCAATACCTGTCAGTCTCGCGCACTTGTGAGGAGTCCCATACTAGGACGAAACGGCCATCCAGTGCTTCCAGGTTTCCCATGGTGATCTAGCTTCAATTGACTCATGATTTCAACCAGTGAAATAAAAAATACGAATGCAAATACACTTACCTACATAACCACAGAATAGCCATATAAACTGAATTATTATTTTCTTGAATAGATTCTTTATGTTTCACTTCATATCGCAAAAGATAACCTAAGCTGAGTTGAGCTTTTTTAAATAAAATATTACAATGATTGTTTACATTTGTATCATGATGATTCTGTTTACTGTCTATTGATAAGTTTTCATCGGTTCCACCGATAACAGTAGTATTCATATCAGTAGTATGATTATGATGATCATTAATAATATTTGTTGTGGAAGTATGCATTTCAACATGAAATTCAATACAATTTAAATAAGTTAATAAACGATGACGAATTTGTTGTAATGCAATAAAAGTACGTGAAGTAGTTGATAATGTACAATTAGTTTGATTAGTATTATTATTGTTATTATTATTTAATCGATCAAGAAAATGCAATAAACATTTAGATGCTTTAACAAATTCTAATGCTGATAAATAATCACCAGGTAGTTTTATTTCATCATCATTATCTGGAATTGGTTGAATAGGTATAGATGGTTTAATCTCTTCAAAACTGTCAATTGTAATACAAGAAAATAATATTAAGATATGTAGATATATATATATATATATATTATGAAGTAGTGAAAAACACAATTAATTATTATTACAGGGTGAGGGGGGTTTGAAGATGTTGTTGAATTTCATCGTTCCCCATCACCAAATGACCTTAGTCAGACAACCATTGAAAATTAGCGACGCAGCAGCTGGAAATCACAGTCTTACCCCTATAAGGAAACCCAAGGATCTATAAAACTATATACTGATAATTATTATGTGGATATTAGTGATCAGATTCGAGAAGAAAATCCAGGTATTCTAGTGTCGGGTGACAGACAGTTACCTAAAGAAGGTACTGGAAGAAGGTGAATTTATTGGTTAGACAAAAACACCGTAGGATTCCGGCTGTTAGGTCCCGATAAACATAATGAATGGTAACTTTAGAATCCTTTTATGAACCAATACCAAACGTATATTTTTATCACATAATTGTAAAATAACTAAACTATTCATATTCATATTCCTCTTATTATAAACTTTATTTTGACCTATGGACTATTATTATACGTTTTACCATTATTGAATTATGCTCTGTCTATTAGTCACTGCCTCCCACGTTCACAGCCACATTTGGCCAAATTTTATGCTATGTTGTGGTCTGTTTGATTGTTATATAAACTCAGTATGTTTGAAATATAGGGATTCATATTACAGAGGCTGAGACTGGTGTTCTTGACTTAACTGGCTGGGCTAGGCGGAAAGCAGGACCAATCAAAAATCTAGGCTGCTCACACGTGTTTACGCGTCCTTGGTCCGAATGAAAATTCGCTTCTCCCTAGTTGGCGGTCGCAAGATATAACACCGGCTCAGTGGTTTGGAGGTCAAGTGTTCTTGCAAGAGACCTAAGATCCTGGGTTCAGTCGCCGCGTGTAGGGTAGTAGATACGTACTTCTGGGGAGTCCCATACTGGGGTGAAACGGTCATACAGTGCTTCCACGTTTTCAATATTGGTCTGACATTGATTTCAATGAAATTGGATTCACCATTTAAATGACACATATGTCATTATCAAAAAGAGTCCGCCGGAAAGCACCGACAATTTGACCAACAATGTATTTGATGAAATAAAATTCACATTATAAATAGATTCAGACAACAAACTACCATTTTCAGACATATGGATCACCAGAAACAATACAGTGAAACTTGGAACTCAAGTATATAAGAAGCTAACGCATACCGACTAAATGTAGAACTAAAATTTGGTACTCGTCACAGACGTGTGACTGTAACCTTTAGTGGACTGTTGCTTCCTAACGGATCTCATCCTGTGTCAGCCAGATTTACAGTCAGAGACGTTGCCACGGTGTAGCTGAACTGTGTAAAACAGGATTGAATCCTTCAGGATCCTTTAAGATCACAAGTACACCTTGTTGATGAATACCAAATAGCACAAAACTTAACTCCAAGGTTTGTTATCAATTAGCTCCAACTATTTAGCATATCAAAATAATGCTAGACAAGTCGAGTCACTTGAAATAGTGGCCACACAGTAACGTGATCGATAGAATTCAACCAGAGCTAAAAAAGACTTGATATACATGACATTGGTCACTACTCTGTGATCTATCAATAGTACGTAAATTAAATTATAATTATCAATAACAGACTAGTTTTTAATGGTGAAATATCGACTTACCTATATTCTAAAGTAGAAAAAAAAGTTTGATATTTTCGTGTAGCATTGAAGTGACGACGATTCAATGATGATTGTGCATGTGAATTTCGAAAGACAGGATCATTCGTCAATGAAGAACAAAGATTATTACTAAAGATGAAATGTAGAAGTCAAGAATGGATTGGTTATCAAATATAATGCTTATTCATCATTATTATAAATAATTGTATTACTACTGCTAATACCAATCATTGTAATAAATTTTTGGTTGGTCAGTTAAGATGGTTTATTCTCCACCTTTCTCTTTCTTCTAATGGTCGACTGGATTATGAAGACCTCGACATCTGAGATGAAACACGGAATACAATATACAGCTTGCATTCAACTAGACGATTTGGACTTCGCAGATCACCTAGTCCTTCTATCTCATACACATGAACAAATGCAAATGAAGACAACTAGTGTAGCAACAGTCTTTGAGTCAGTAGATCTCAACATACACAAGGGAAAAGGCAACATCCTCAAATACAACATGAAGAACACCAACACTATCACACTTGATGGAAAAACTCTGGAAGGGGTGGAAAGTTCCAAGTATCTGGAAAGAATCATCGCTGAACATGAAGCATCTGATTCAGTCGTAAATGCGAAGATTGGCAAATTAAGGACAACATTCCTACAGTTGAAGAACATATGGAACTCAAAACAACTATCGGTCAACCAACATCAAAGTCACAGTCTTCAATACGAACGTACAGTTCTACTGTACGGAGATGAAACTTGGAGCACTACTACAACCATTATCAATAAAGTACGAGTATTTCTAGACAATTGTCTATGTAAGATACTCAATGTTTGCTGACAGGATACCATCAGCAAAAACCTACTGTGGGAGAGAACGAACCAACTTCCATTTGAAGAGGAAATTAGGAAAGACGATGGCATTGGATAGGACACACATTGAAGAAATCCTCAAACTACATCACGAATCAATCGCTAACTTGGATTCGTGAAGGAAAACTGAAGAAAGGAAGGTCAAAGAACACATTGCACTGGGAATTGGAAGCACATATGAAAAGGATGAATAGCAACTGAAAAGGATTGCCCGGGACAAAGTTGTATGGAGAATACTGGTGGATGTTCTAATCTCCTCAACGAGGAGTAACAGTATTATATTGTATTCTATGAACCGAATAGATTATTCGATTGTGGAGTTTTCAGTGCTATTCTCTGGAGAACATCATCATTGTTTACTTCATGTAGAAGTGAGCTTTTCATTCACTGTTCTACAAATGTTGTTTTAACTAGTTCTTCAATCTCGAAATTATATGTGTAAACCTATAAATACACCAGCTTCTTCCATGCACTAATTAATCTTTGGAATAAAGTTTCCTTCATAGTTCACATTTTTTATTTCCAACTAAGAGTTTGAAAGTTGAACAATTTCAGGAACTAGAAAGTGATTAGAAAGTTCGTGGCTTAACACTCCAATACAAAACGTACCAGTTGTTTCATTTCAAATCCAACTGAATCTTACCAGTCACAGCTTATATATACATGATTATCCTAAATATTAACTGTAAGCATCAACTCTAAGCTCTACAACCCAATCATAACTCAAACCCCGATCCTACATCCTAAGGTCTAAATTCTAAATCTTAGTCTTAAATCTAAACTTAAATGTTTATTGATGCTTTCAATGTTAAAATTAATCATCACATTTCAACAAATAACATTCTACTTTGATAAAATACGCCTTGGCCTCGAAATATCTTGATCCTTCTTGATTAAAGGCACGATTGTATAATTCAGCTTTACCCAATCCTTTTATACATGAGATCAAAAGATAAATGGAGTCAACTGTATAATTAATTAAACTTGCCTCATATTTGGTGAATGTATATTAGAAGGATCTGTATTGGTAAGACATGATGTATTTCGAAATATAGTAGGACTTGTCTCCAATGTTGTTCCTGTTACAATGGAACTTAACCATGGAGCTTGTGCATTACTTAAAATCATTAATTCATCCAACGTTATTAAGAATGTGGAGCAAGATGCGTTTAACATACCAGTTAATTCATCAATACGCTGATTAAAACAAAACGAAAGTGGAAAATTAAATATCAGAAATTAATTTCTACAATAACAAAACTGTTGGTGAATATATGGTTTAAATACCTCATTTATATATAGGACAAAGATTAGAACATCATAGGATGAAATATTGAAAAGACAATAGTGCTTTCCCCCAGCCAACTTATCTATGTTCACAAATAGCCTGAACTATAAGCTCTTGGATCAGATCATTTCTATATGTGGTTATCAATTCATCGGCTCCTGTGGAGATGGGTATATAAGTCGTTTAGTGAGCGTTTCATCCAAGATAATTGAAGATTATTATCTGATGTGATTGAAAAGAGACAACAATAAATCCAAAGGCAGCTCCATAATCGAACACCTGGTAAACACATGTCATCACATTAAAACGCATCCACAGTTTAAATTCATCAACAAGATGAATTGAAATAAAATTGATCTTTAATAAACTGAGGTCTAGTCTCTTTAACACAGCGGAACCTTTTGTTGTATATTTAGAGAAGCTAGAATTGTGTATTCAATCTGTTCTTCTGTCGTATTTTAATCTTAAGTTTTCTAAAGCTATTTAAATACCTAGTGTTCTTCTGTATTGACTATTTTTTTGCCTGTAACCGACTAATTTCTGTTGGACAAGTTCAAATCAATAAAGAATCTATGGAATTCTAGTATGTCTGTTGAATTGAAGAATTTAAACAAATGAATAGATTCAAGAATTGTGAATGAATTAGGAATTCAAAGAACATAATGCAGATAAGATTTTAGCAGCAGCAACAACAACAAAAATTCAGTGACCAACATTCAAAAAATATGTTGTATAAATCGGTGTGTTAGACAAATTCGATACTCTGCAATACAGTTTAAGTACGAATGAATGAAGATTAATCAAGACACTGATATCATAAGAGTTAGAGAGAAATAACTATATTTTTCTGAGAAAATAATTAAAGTGATACAATTTTACTACACGGCAAGACATTTTCATAAATATTTCATATAAACAATGATATTTCGTTAGGCTATGAAACATTATTTTTTCAAGCTCGAACTTAACTCTATTTACTTCCGGTTAAAAGTTCAACTTAAAACATGAACGTTCAGAGTACAGTTCCTGGCAGAAATATGGATGTATCAAATGTTACAACGAAAAAGCTGTCTAATTCTTCCGAATTTCCAACGAATCTCTAAAAACGATTTGGTTCACCAGTGTGCTTGGTACCTGTGCGGTTGCGCCACAGGATTGAGCTGTACTATTCAGATTGTAGCGTTAAAACCTATACAGTGTCTGGTTCTTCTGTGAAGTGGGATTGAGCTGTACTGCTCGGTTTATAAAATTTAAGCCTGGGTGGTGTCTGGCTCTCCTGTTAAACGGGGTTGAGCTGTACTGTTTGGGTTATCACGTGAAAGTCCGGATGGTGTCTGGTTCTCCTGAAAAACAGTGTAATATTACCCTGGCCCACAAGGGTATATTATATAACTGTGAATAGCCCCCGAATGCCCTGGTATGGCCGGGAGTGGGGAGAGTCCGCTCCCCCTCTTCAAATGCTCTCACATGGCCACGCGTATATAGCCTCTGCCAGGGAAGTCATACTCACTGCCTTCTCACACCACAGGGGTGTTGTTTACGAATATGAGAGGACGAAAAGCGAATGTCCGGAGCTTTAACCGGATCCCAAACCAATGGTGCACATGGGCTCCAGTATCCTCAATAAACAAATGGCGCATGAACCAATCGTTGGTCACTGGCTTCCGTGGGACTGCATCTCCTTACGATGTTCCACTGACTTGTAGATCAGACCTTCAGGTCGAAGGCTCGGGGAGTGGCCCCCTAAGATAACCACCTGCTTCGGTTCGGGCACCCGGGCAGTATTACAGCCCTCACACATATCGAATGAGATTTGTGTGGCGCATATGTATTTGGTGCCTCCTTGTACCAATATTTATGTGTTCAAATAAACGATAAATAAAATAAAAACGATTAGTTTGGTACTTAAACTATACAAGATAATCACTATTTGAAATAATTTCACATTTATCATTGAATAATAGTTTACTATTTGCTTTTTTTAATTATAACAAACATACCAAATATAAAATTTACTTGTCCAAATTCCAGTTAAAATATACTGACATTAAATAATTAGTAAATACATATTAGAGAATGTTGACTATCATTATACTACTTAAATATTAGTCTATAATGTGTCAATTACAACATAACATAGATCATGATAGATTCGATTTCATAGTTTTTTTTAATAATCATTGGGTTATTTGACAGTTCTCAAAATATAGTAACCATTGAGTGAATTGTTTTATGTCAGAGGGGTTTTATGAATATGATAGTAATTTCAATGGTTGAGATCCATGAGTCCATTGAAGCTAGACCATCATGGAAAACCTGGAAGTACTGAACGGCTGTTTCTTTCTATTGTGGAACTCCGCAGCAGTGCGAATTTTAGCTTGATACCTTTTCATAATGTACAGCCACAACTCTACACATAAAAGAACTTAAAATTTTAATGTATCATCACAGAGTATATGTAACTGTTAAATTAGTGAGTTGTAATTGACCGGTTTACACTTTTAGTTTTACATTTACTATTTCCAATAATTATGTACTCACTATTATATAACTACGATCTGAGTTACTCTGAACTAGTTCTAGTGAAAAGTCGTGAACTATGTAGTTGACTTAATCATGAATGAAACAGTTACTGATAAAAATTGTATGAAAATTAATGGTTGATAAACAGACAAAAAGAATCAAAACAATTATCCAGCAATACAGCTAAGAGTGTTACTTATAATAACATAGCGTCAGATCCGGAGAATATTAGGCGCAACATAATGACAAAACCTAGTTTATTATTTGTTTTTTCGTGATAATTAAAAGCTTAGATGACCCGTTGATATATTCTTTATTAATTGACACACTTAAAAAGGTACAGATTTATGTACTTGACTTCCAGCTCCACTCTACACGAGAGAGCTAATGATACTACGATCCGCTTGTCTAAACACAAGTAAGTGAATTAGGGTTCGAAGCTGTAAACTATTGGCTAAAAATTGATTGCCTTAACCTCTGATCCACTGGCTAGTTTATAAAATAGTTACAGTTGATTCATACCTCTTTCAGAGTTTCTCCATCAAGTGTGATTGTGTTGGTATTTTCCATGTTGTATTTAAGGATCTTGCTTTTTCCCTTGTGTATGTTGAGATGTACTGATGCAGAGACTGTTGCTACCCTGGTTGTCTTAACCTGCATTTGCTCGTGTCGGATAAAAGGACTAGGTTATATGCGAAGTCCAAATCGTTTGGTTAAATGTAAGCTCGTCTATTCAAGAGTTCCTCAAAATATTCTACACATTTGTTACTCTGTCCTTGAATTTCAGTGATTGGCTTGTCTTCTTTGTCCTTGACCAGTCTTTCTGGTTTACTATATTTTCCTACTAGTTTATTCGTTGTGTCATATAGCTATCTCATATCTCCTTCTCTTGAAGCTCTTCCACTTATTTCAGCTAGTCAGCTCTAATGCTCCTCTTTACTTGCTTGTTTAATTCTGTATATTCAACTTGTGCCTTGACTTTCTCTGCTCTTGTTCGGCTGTTGTTAATTGCTGTCTTTTTGTTTTTCTTTCCTTTCTTGAATCTTGTCCAGATTTTCCATAGAGATTCATTCCTTATGATGATGCTTCTTGCGGCCCAGCACCTTCTGAAACTTTTAAGTTAGTGCTTCTTTGATCCGTTTCCAGTTGTCCCCCAACGCAGTTTCTTCTTTCAGTAGAATCTCTAAGGCTTGGAACCTGTTGTTGAGAGTTATCTTGAATTCGTTGAGCTTATCAGTATATCGAAGGAAGGCTGCATTGAACCTATGTAATACTGTTTCCCCAGCTGTCCAGTGCTTCTTTAGCTTCAGTTTCATCTTGAAAACCATCAGAAGGTGATCTGAGGCTATGTTAGCTCCTTTCCTGGTTCTCACACTTTCCATTGACCTTGTGAAGTTTTTACTGGTGCAAATACGACCCATCTGCTTCTCCGTGGAGTGGTCCGGTGAAATCCACGTAACTTTGTGTATGCGTTTGTATGGGAATATTGTGCCACCTGTAACCAACTTGTTGAATGTACACAGATTTGCAAATCTCTCTCCATCCCCGTTCCTTTCTCCTAGTCCATGTCGCCTCATGATATCATCATATCCGGTGTTGTCCATTCTGACTTTGGCGCTTAGATCTCCCATCAGGATTGTCAAGTTCTTTCCAGAGCACTTCGCTATGATGAATTGCAGCTTCTCGAACTGATATCTATCGCTGTCGTTGCTGTTATTAGTGAGTACATAACATTGGACAAAATTCATCGTCATTCCCTCCTTTATTTTGAAGATCCTAAATCCGTGAGATTCACATCCTGTAAGTGCATTTCGTGCACCTTTGAACATCTGAGCAACTCCCTGAGTGTGCGGAGCATTTTCCTCTTTCCATCATCTCTCCCGTACCTAACCTTCGCTGTCCAGCTTGGGTCCAATAGGTTTCGCCGATTTCGAGTTACGCCAACTTGTCTCATCATTCCCGTTTCTGATTGAGATCATGAACCGATTGATGTTAGACCACCACCTTTGGAAACCTGGAAGCACGGGACAGCCGTTTCGTCCTATTGTGGGACTCCACAGCAGTGCGCATCCACGATCCCGCTTACGGGATTCGAACCCAGGGCCTTCGGCCTCGCGCGTAAACGCTTAACTTACTGGACCACTGAGCCGGCATCCGTTTCTATTTGGCTGGTCTTTATATTCCATGTATCTACAAAATCTGTTGCTCTGCTTGTTAGAATGGATATATATATATATATATATATATATATTATAGTCCATAAATTAGTCTTGATAGTTACCATACCTTTAGTCTTCGTCCGAATATAACAAAAACAATATGAAATTCATTTTGTAAATTCACTGGCGTAAAAGTTCACTCATCGCCTTTCCCTCCCCTAACTCTT